ATTTTTTTTTATTATAGCTATCTTAGTGTGTGCAAAAGTGATTTCTCATTGTGGTTTTGATTTGCATTTCTTAAATGTTAATACTGATCTGTGTGTGTGCGCACGTGTGTGTGCTTATTGGCCACTTGTATATCTTCTTTGGATAAATGTCTATTTAGATCCTTTGCCTGTTTTTAAATTGGGTGTTTTGTATTTTAAATGTTATGTTGTAAGAGTTTTTTATATATTTTGAGTAGGGTAGACCCTTATCAGAAGTGATTTGCAGATATTTTCTCTCATTTTATGGGTTGTCTTTTTAAAGTTTTAGATTTTTATAAAGTTTAATTTATTTTTTCTTTGGTTGCTTATACTTTAGATATCACATCTGAGAACTGTTGCCTAACCCAAGTCACAAAGATTTATACCTGCTTTTTATTTTAAGAATTTTATAGTTTTACATATTATATTTAGGTTCATTTTGAGTTAATTTTATGTATGGCATGAGATAGAGGTTAATTTCATTATTTTGACTATGGATATCCAGTGTCCCAGCACTCGTTTTTGAACAAACTATTCTTCCCATTGAAAAAAATCAGTCAGAATAGACACCTCTCCAAACAGGACATACAAATGGCCAAGAGACATATGAAGAAATGCTCAACATCACTAATCATCAGAGAGATGCAAATTAAAACAACAATGAGGTATCACCTCACACCTGTCAGAATGGCCGCCATCAACAAATCATCAAACAACAAGTGTTGGCGAGGGTGTGGAGAAAAGGGGATTCTAATACACTGCTCGTGGGAATGCAGACTGGTGCAGCCGCTATGGAAAACAATATGGTGCTACCTCAAAAAATTAAAAATTGAACTTCCATTTGACCCAGTGATCCCAGTGCTGGGAATATACCCTAAGAAGCCTGAAACACCAATCAGGAAGAATATATGTACCCCCATGTTCATAGCAGCACTATTTACAATAGCTAAGATCTGGAAACAGCCCAAGTGTCCATCAGTAGACGAATGGATAAAAAAGCAGTGGTACATATACACAATGGAGTACTATGCAGCGGTAAGAAAGAAAGATCTCTTATCCTTTGAGACGACATGGAGGGACCTGGAAAGTATTATCCTAAGTGAAAGAAGTCAAGCAGAAAAAGACAAATACCACATGATCTCACTTATATACGGAATATAATGAACATAACAGTCTGAGGAATACAGTAGACCCAGAAACATGGAAGTAGGGCACAGACTGACATCCCTCAGAAGAGGGGGTGGGGGGGGTGGGGGGTGGGAAGAGATAAACCACAGAACTTATATGCATGTATGCATGACCAATGGACATGGACAACTAAGCTGGGGACGGGGCGGAGGTAGGGTGGGGTGGGGGGTGCCAATGGGGTAAAAAGGTAAAATATCTGTAACAAAAAAATAAGTAAAAAATTCATTTAAAAATAAATAAATAAAAAAAATAAAAGAAAAAAAAAAGAAAGAAAAAAACCAGTCAATTCATCAATTGTCAAAAATCAATTAACTATAGAAAATAAATGAACTATAGCTGTGTGGGCTTATTTCTAGACTTTGAGTTCTATTACATTGACCTATATGTCCCTTCTTATGCCAGTATCACACAGTTTTGATTACTATAGCTTTGTGGTAAGTTTGAAATCTAGATGTGCAAGTCTTCCAACTTTTTTTTCAAGATTGTTTCAAATTAGCTTTTCTATTTCTGAAAAAAAAAAAAAAGGCAGTTGGAATTTTCATAGGTATTGAATCTGTAGGTCAATTTGGGGAGTATTGTAATCTTAATACAATCTTTGATGTATTTCCTCTATATAATATTGTGTCATTTGCAAATAGAGATAACACTATTCCAATTTTACTGCTTTTTATTTATTTATCTTGTGTAATTGCCTTGGCTAGAACCTTCAGTACACTTCAATACAGTGTTGAAGTGGTGAGAGCAGACACCCTTGTGTTATCATAGGGGGAAGGTTTCAGTTTGTCAGCATTAATATGATGTTAGCTGAGGGCTTTATGTAAATGCCCTTTAGCAGGATGAGGAAATTACCTTATATTCCTAGTTTGTTTAGAAGTTTTATTATTCAAGTGTGTTGAATTTTGTCAAATGCTTTTTCTGTTTCTGTTAAATAATATTATGGATTTTGTCCTTTATTCTATTACTATGGTATATTGCATTAATTGATTTCAAATATTAAGTCAAGCTTTAATTCTGGGCATAAATTTCTCTTGCTCAGGTACATAATTTTTATATGTTGTTGAATTTAGCTTGCTGGTATTTTGTAGAGGATTTTTGTATCTGTATAAATAGGTATTATTCTGTAGTTTTCTTGTGCTGTCTTTGTCTGGTTTTGGTGTCAAGGTAATATTGGCCTACTAAAATGATGTTGTAAGTTTTCCCTCCCCTTATATTTTTGGGAAGAATTTGTGATGGATTGGTGATCATTTTTCTTTCAGTGTTTTGTAGAATTCACCAGTGAAGCTATCTGGTTTTTCTTTGTGGGAAATTTTTTATTTTGTCTTATTTTTAACTTATTGATTCAATCTCTTTTCTTATTATAGGTCTATTCAGGTTTTCTACTTTTAAAAAAAATTTCAGTATTTGGGTGTTTCTATGAATTTATTCATTTCATCTGTTATCTAATTTGTTGGGATACTTTTGTTCGTTGTAGCCCCTTATCTTTATTTCTGTAAGTTCAGTAGTATTGTCCCTTCTTTCATTCCTAATGTTAGTAACTTGTGTCTTCTCACTTTATTTTTCTTGGCTAGTACAGCTAAAGGTTTGTCAATTTTGCTGATCTTTTCAAGAACCAACATGGTTTTGCTGATTTTTTTCTATTCTCTAGTCTATATCTGCTCTAATTCGTTTTTTTGTTTGTTTGTTTTGTTAATTCTCACCTGAGAATATTTTTCCATTGATTTTTCTTTTTAAGATAAGGGTGGAAGAGAGGGGGAGAAAGAAAAAACATCAATGTGAGAAAGACAATGAGTGGTTGCCTCCAACACTACCCGTAGCAGGGCCACGGATGGAATCTGCAACTCAGATACATGCCCTTGACCGGATATTGAACCCGAAACCCTTCTGTCCAACCACTGAACCAAACCAGCCAGGGCTGTTCTAATATTTATTATGTAGTTCCTTCTGCTTGTTTTGGATCTAATTTGATCTTATTTTTTTTCTGATTTCTTAAGATAGAAGCTTAGGTTTTTATTTGAGATATTCTTTTATAATATAGGTGTCTACACCTATAAAACTTATTTTAAGCACTGTATTAGCTTAATACTATAAGTTTTGTCATGTGTTTTCATCTTATTCATCTCAACATATTCTTTAATTTTCCTTATAATTGCCTTCTTGACCCATTGGTTATTTAAAAGAGTGTTAATTTTCCCATATATGTGAATTTCCAAAATTTCCTTCTTTATTGCTTTCCAATTTTATTCCATTGTAGTTGGAGAACATACTTAGTGTCATTTCAGTTCTTTTTTATTTAAAAGTATCTTATGGCCTAACATATGACATATCCTGGAGAATGTTGCATAGGCACTAGAGAGAAATGTATATTCTGCTATTGGTTGGAGGACTGTTCTATAGATGTCTGTTAGGTGTAATTGCTTTATAGTGACATTCAAGCCAATTATTTCCTCACTGAGCTTCTGTCTGCTTGTTCTATCCATTATTGAAAATGGGATATTGAAATCTCCAAATATTATTGTTGAATTGTTTATTTCTCCTTTCAGTTCTTCCAGTTTTTGCTTCATGTACTTTTGGGCTCTCTTGTTAGATGCGTGTATATTTATAAATGTTATATCCTCTTGATGAATTGACCCCTTTTTCAATATATAATGCCTGTCTTTATTTCACAGATTTTTGTCTTAATGTCTATTTTGTCTATTATTAATGTAGCCACTCCAACTCTTTTCAGGTTGCTATTTGCATAGTACATCTTTTTCTATCCATTTACTTTAAGCTCATTTGAAATGTGTCTCTTATAAACACATATAGTTGGGTCTTTTTAAAAAATGTATTCTGTGTACCTCTGCTTTAGTTGGAATGTTTAATTACTAATAGGTGGGATTTACATCTGCCACTTGACAACTTGCTTCTTTTATGTGTGTCATATGCTTTCTGTCCCCCTGTTTCCCCATTACTGCCTTCTTTTGTGTTAAATAGATACTTCTAGTGCACCATTTTAATTCCCTTGTCCTTTCTTTTACTACATAATTTTTATTTATGGGTAACCAAATGAGTTACAAATAAAAATACAATTTTTATATATCTTTTATGTGTACCTGTTATTGTAACTTTTACTGATACTCTTTATTCCATCATGTGGATTCCAGTTATTATAGTGCCCTTTTATTTCAGCCTGAAGAATGCCCTTTAATATTTCTTATAAGGCACATTTTCTAACACCCCCCCTCCCCCCAGTTCAGACCCTGCCAAAGGAAGGGTGCCAGTAAATTACCCCACAGTGGTGGTTGGGATTAGAGAGAATTAGCAATGTTGAATCTTCTAATAGGTGAATGTGAATTATTTCTCTATTTTATTTAGGTTTTTTAATTTTCTTTCATCAGTATTTTGTAATTTTCAGCATATCAAATATTGGACATATTCTTTAAGATTTGTAGCTAATTATTTCATGGGCTTGTGTAGTTATTAATATTTAAATAAATACCAAATACCAGAAGGACTTCCACTTCTAGTAAATATGAACCATGTATATTTGTAATAACCCTTCTGCTGAAGACAACTAGAAAAGATGAAAAAATGTAAAAGAATAAAAAACATGTTTAAAATCATCATAGAGCTATTAGATTGAAAATCCCCAAATGTAAAGGTTGGAAGACATGTTCATAAGATGCCTTGTATTTTATAGTTTGCAAATGTCATTTTAAAATAATTTGATATTTTCAGATCTGGCATAAATAGATATATTTATCTACATCTAAAGATAAGATATACTTACCTATTTCTCCTTTTGTTTTTCAAAGGAAGACATAAATGCATTAACCCACAACCTGCAGGCTCTAGAGGAAAAGAATAAGCACCTGGCAGATCAATTGGCTTGCCTAGAACTTCAGCAAGACACATCTGATTACCATGGGGTGGGTATAAAAAGGTCAGTCTGACGTAGAAATTAATGACTAACGAGTTTTTAAAAAGAGATCAGAAGTCAGGAGATGGGTTTTCTTCATTTGTTTGTGTGTTAATAATTATCATAAGTCCTGAATAACTCAGGCTAAATGTGGCATAAATCCTTACAGCATTCAAACAACAGAGGATTTAAGAAAACAGGAATTTACCCTGGCCAGTTTAGCTTAGTGGTTAGAGCATCGGCCCGCAGACCAGAGAGTCCCGGGTTCAGTTCCTGCTAAGGGCACGTACCTCGGTTGCAGTTTGTCCCCGGCCCCAGTTTGGGTCGTGTGGGTGGCAGCCACTTGATGTGTCTCTCTCACATCAATGTTTCTCTTTCTCTCTCTTCCCGCCCTCTTTCCCTCCTGCTCTATCTGAAGATAAATGCAAAAATGTCCTCAGGTGAGGATAAAAAATAATAATAATAATAATAACTGTAAGAAACAATATATGAATATGTACATTACACATGAAGTAAATACTGCTTTGATAAGACAAATACTTAGATGGTCATAATAGTTTAATAACCTAACCCACTGACACCTAATATTCAGTATACATCTTTATATGAATGTATGAATGTACATGAATGTATGAATATATATGAATGTATATATTTTAGACTAGATGGTATATAAGGACTGATGACTCTTCATGGCTTTCCATTAGTTTTTTCTTTTTTTAATCAAATCTAGACTGTCTAAAATGGCCTAATTCTTCTAGTCAAGGCAACTACCAAGGAGAAAACAAAATCCAGACTAGTGTGCCCCCTTGTAAAGCATATACTATCATGAAACTATTTTGAACAGAGGAAAATATGAATTACATGTGATAGAGTAATCTATTTTGGAATGTGTCTTTCTTTTTAAATTGGAAATAAGTGTGTTGGATTCACGATACTTGAAATAAAATGCAGTACAAAGTGATGGCTAAAGAATAGCTATAAGTGTGTCAGAGATGGTGTGGAAGTCTTTGTAAATTAATATTTCTACATATGCGGGTTCATCTTGATCAGCTTGCCCAAAGTTGAATATAACACAGAAGTCTAAATTCTTTGACTTTAAATGCTTAAAAGGCTCCCTGTTTTATTATTCACAAATGAAGCAAATGTAAGCCAGAAATTGTGAATTATGTCAATATTTACCAAGACCTTAAACTCCAGATTCACTGCAGATGATCCATAGTGCAGCTAGTCGGCCTAAGTGACTAAGGCTTTGTGTTCTCAGTCACATTTGCTTGTGTCTGTATTATCCCCACAGTTGATTTGTGAAGATACTTTTGACATCTGGCAAATATCAGTGTTTCCTATTATTAAAATTTAACACTAAAATTGATTATGGAGGGTGAAATTTTTTATATTTAATCACTAATATGTTCCTGAATTACCAACAAGGCCAAAAATTTAATGAGAAGAAAACTCTATACTTATTTCTCTGACAAAGTTTGAGGAAAAAGACATGGAAAGAATGTCATTATTAAAAGCTGTTTGAATGATTGAAAATATGTAATTTCATGAATTATAGAGCTTTTGGTAATGTTTGTCTCAGATAATACTGTGTTCAGTGTTTGATCAAAACAGTGTTTTGAGATTCTGCCTTTAACCATGATAACCGAAGCATCACAGCCGAAGTGGTTGTGATCATTTACAGATCCTGTTTTCTTCAAAAACTATATGATCCTCAAACTGTGTATCTGTAACCACTGATACAGCCATCCCACATTGGGGTTGAATCGCAACTACAAAGAAATAGTTAATGTAACAGAAATAGAATTAATAAACAAAGAATAAACTCTGGGCCTCTTGAGGCACCCACTTTGCTTAGCTGTCTCCCTGCGTGTTGCATATCAGCACTATCTTGGCTGTCTAGGGAAAGATGAGAGGCAGCAGTAGCCAATAACGAAGAATCCGGGTTTCATTCTTAGAGAAATAGTAAGGGTATAAATACTTGTTTAAAAGGAAAATGATTATTCCCTTCTATGCCAAGAGGTACTGATTGATGTCTGTGTTTGCATTATCAGCTTGCCCGACAGCAGGTGGAAAAGGTTTTGGGGAAAATCACTGAGAGTAAAAACAAACTGGCCTATGAAAAGGGAAAACTCCAGGTATGAGATTTCATTTTCTGATTTTTGTTGTCTATCTTTTTAATGTCGATTGTCAAACTAAATACTGCTGAATTTTGAGAAGACCTAGACTGTCATTTACTAATTCTGTAACTTTGGACTAGCCTTTGAACCTCCCTAACTTTGTTACCACATTAGAATCTAGGTGACTTCTCTTCACATACCTGCACTATAATGCTGAACCTAAAATTTTGAGGCCCAAGTCCATCCTGTGACTGTCTGAAGCTTTATTATAATTGTTTAATGCAAGGTCATTTACCAAGAATGTAGAGAGCTTATGTTCTATTTTTTTGCTGAATTTTTGTAACATTCCTGAAAAGAGCCCTGGAAATTAGTACTGAGGCAATAGAATAGATTCGAGTGAGTGGGATGGTACTACTTATTTTTCTGCCTCTGAGTTCTGTCCCTCGAATACCCACAGAGCAGAAAGCTTGCCACTGATAGAGATAATCCTGCCTTAAACCAAGTCCAGTAGTGGTTCTTAGAATCATTGGTTCCTAGCCCTAGCTACACAGTAGACTCATCTGAGGAGTTTTAAAAACTCATGCTGGGAAGTGTATGTCTTCTCTTACTTTGAACTAAACCTTTAAAAAAAGAAGAATCTGATGGATGGATAGAGGAAGTAAAAGATGGATAGCTATGTGATAAGCAAATATAAAAACTGTTAATGGTAGAATTTGGTTGGTGGGTGTATGCTTGTTCACAGTAAAATTCTTCCAGTTTTTCTGTATATTTAAATTTTAAATTTTTAAGTGTAATAAAATGTAAGAAGGAAATTCCTATGACAAGGCTTACACCCCAGAACTATTAAATTAGAATCTCAGGGAGTAGGTCCTAGGCTTCAGTACTTTTTTCAGTTTCCCCAACAGGGACAGCTATGGCAATAGGGTACCATAGCTGAGGACTACTAGACTAGATGGTATGAAGTGAAGTCCAGATAGGCTTGGCACCTGTGGAGCTGATTTGATCAGTAATCTCACTAGAAGCTTGCCAAACACTTCAGTGTTAACCTCATTTCATCTGCTCAAGGGGCTTACTCTAGGGCTAGCAGACAAGATTGGGCCAGAAATGGCAGCCTATGTGAAGGGCAGTTGAGAAACCAGGCTTGTGAAACAGTATGTTGTCCACCAAAAAGAGAAAGCTATTTGGCCACTATATGTGAGCTTTTTTTTTTATCCTCACCCAAGGACATTTTTGAATTTATCTTCAGGTAGAGCGGGAGGGAGAGAGGGGGAAGAGAGAGAGAGACACATCGACGTGAGAGAGACACATCACTGGTTGCCACCCGCATGACCCCAACCTATAAAACGAGGCATTGAGCACACCTCTGTTATCTAATTCTCACTGGGACAGATAATCAACATTACAGAATGGTTAAGTAGATTACTACAGTGTAGAATAACTTTCTTTGTGAAACTAATGATCCTATAGAAGCTATAATTCATGATTTTGACCTTCTTTTAGCTTTCTCAAGAGAAATGAAGTATATTTTTATGTATGTAAGAAAAATCCCAAAAGCTCATGTTTTGGGCTACAAATGGAATACATTTAAATTTTATTAAAATTTGGCTGCAAATGGAATATATTTTACATTTTATTAATGATTCTGATGTTATCTTTTAGAGTTTCCATAAGCAGTAGAAACAAAATGAATGATCTCTGTACATGTAAAAGAATATAGCTTACTTTGAGCTGTTGAAATAGCTATGTATTTCAGTTGATACAGCATGATTAGAAAAATTAAAGATTGCTTTTTACAAGTTTTAAGGATTCTCTAATTTTTTTTGCAAAACTCGTGAAATCTTTTTTCCTTTTGGAGTATATAAACATATATATATATAATTAATGCAGTTTATGTTTATTATTCTTTTGTTTTTTCCCTAGATAAAAGTTAAGCAGCTAGAAGAACAGCTACAGGCTTTTACTGAAACCCATTCACAGAATGACCATCTACGCAAGTTGAATAAAGCGCTAGAGGTCAAATATGCTCAGGTGTGATTAATAGCTACAAACAGATTGCTCTTAAATTGTTTTAGTCTTTAAGAAATTGATGCCTTTTTCCCTACATAACCATATAATCTCAGAAAGATGAATATTCTCTCACTTAACTCAATTCAACATGCATTTTTTAAACACCCAGTTAAGTATAAGGTTCTGCTAAGCCACAGAGCAATTCATAAAGATGCCTGAAGCAGGATTGGGACATTCAACTTGCTTATGCTGTAATTTGAGGCTTAGAAGTGTGCTCATTAAACTTTATTATAGAATAGTAAGTATGTGTTTTAGAAACAAAATAGATTTTATTATGAGTTTTCATAGAGGAAGCGGTTTTTTAATTTGAGCCTTATAACTTTCAGCAGACGTGAGGAACAAATATCTTTGGTTTTTGAATTATAGGCAACAAGACTGCTTACTTGAAAGAGGTATTAGTAAAGCAGGTGCTTATTTGTCAGCATGGTAACTATTGAGATTGATAACTTTTCATTTATTTATTTATTCATTTGTTTTTAGAGAGAGAGAGAAACATTGGTTACCTCCCATATGCATCCTGAGCGGAGTTTGAACCCACAACCTAGGCATGTGCCTTGACCAGGAATCAAACCCTCAACCTTTAGGTATATGGGACAACACTCCAACCAGCTGAGCCACCTGGCCAGGGCAAGATTGATAACATTTTAACAAATAAATAGAGAAAGTTAGATAAATAAGATATATAAAATATTTTATGAGGAAAATAATCCAGTAATTTGTTACTGAAAAAAAAAAAGTGGTTCATTTCAATGATTTACAAATTTGCCATGTATAAAAGTTCTTAAAAAATTATTGACACTATATAAGCATGTGTCATTTGTATATGTATACCTTTGGTAACCAAGGAACTGGAATGTGTGTGAATAGAATTCTGTTAGGGTTCTAACTATCTGACATACTGGTCAACGGGACCTCATTGGATACGCTGTCCTACAGGGAATTTTATTTGCGGTCTGCTTCTTCACTAGGACACACTTTGCAGTGTGATTTCTTCATTCTGAAAGCAACAAAACACATTTTCACATTATATTTTCCATCGTGGCTTCATCCAGAACATTCGTATACCTCCTAGTAGAGAGGACACTCTTTGAAAAATAACTCTAGATTTAGTTGTTTTTAATTGGTAATGCCTCCAAGAAAAAGGAAATCTCCAGAGAGGCCTCCATCTTCGAAATTCCTTGAAAGCTGTAGACCCATTATAAAGGAAAGAACATCAGTTGGTTTACCCAGCGTCATTCCAAACTCTGCACGCCATGTGACCTTTGCATCTACCCTGACTTCTGCGAGATCTTCTCAGGAGACTGGAGACTCTAGAATCTCTCTAAAGACTCTTTTGAATGCTATTAAAACCATGGAGGGAAGACTGGAAGGTAAAATAGACATTCTTGCCTCAAGACCATATAAAAATTATGAGTCATCAAATTTTCTTAAACGGGATTCGGTAAGTGAAGACCACAAATTAAATCATCAGGAAATTTCAAATTTATACACCAATGAAGAATAGTAGTAACAAATCCAGAAAGATAATATTTGGAGGTATGAGTAACAACAGGAAATTCCATTCTTTACAGATAGGGAAAACAGATGATGCAGATCAAAACCATTTTGGCTATCACATAATTTTTGTTTTTGGACATAGAAAATATCAGACTTGGCTTAACAGTTACCATTGAGATTTCTAAAATCTAATTTTGATGTATTTTTTAATTTAAAATGCCTGCCTAACCTTAATGTTTGAATTAAGATGTTTGGGCAAAGCTTAATTTTAAAATAGAAATACATTAATAGAAGCCCTAGGAACTTTAACATCAGAAATATTTTTCAAAGAAAACATTTTAGAGCATCCATCTTTGCTATAGCTTGTCTTTTAGAGTTGACTACTATTTGGATACTTTTTGCAAACATTTTTGCTAGTCACCTTTTCATATATATATCTTATAAACACTATTAAAATTATAAAAACTATACAGTTGACCCTTGAACAACATGTGAGTTAGGGATGTCAACTCCCTGCACAATCAAAAGTCTGAATATAACTTTTGGCTTTCCCAAATCTTAAATTGCCCCTTGGTATACTGTCCATGGGCATTGGTTCCAGGATCCCCCACAGATACCAAAAATCCATAGATGCTCAAGTCTCCTATAAAATTGGCATAGATCTGCACATATAGTCAGCCCTCTGCATTCTCGGACTCCTGCATTGAAAACAGTACAGGCACTTACTGAAAACAATTTACATATTAGTGAACCTGTGCAGTTCAAACATGTGTTTTTTAAAGGTTAATTGTATTATTTCTTCTCTAGAACAAAAGGTTTTCAGAACCTAGAAGTTGGTATCCTTTGTACTATTTTTGTATCCTTACATAAAAAGTTAAAGTATTTTAAATTTTATTTTTTCTTTATTGATTTTAGAGAGACAGGAAGGGAGAGGGAGAGAGAAATAGAAACATAGATGAGAGAGAACATCGATTGCCTGACTCCTGCATGCCCCCCACTGGGGATTGGACCCACAACCTGGGCATGTGTACTGACCGGGATCGAACCGGAGACCTCTTGGTGCATGGGTCGATGCTCAACCACTGAGCCACACCAGCTGGACAAAAAGTTGAAGTATTTTAAATGTTGCAGGTGAAAAATTTTAAGAAAGTGTAATGTTGAAGATGTGGCAAACAGACGTTCTTCTTTGTTGCTGTTGGGAGTATAAAATAGTATAGCTCATATGGAAGGCAATTTGGCAGTGTGTGTACTTCTAGGATTTTTTTCTGTAAATATACTAACTTGTTACTTACTGAAGTATTATTTGTTAATAGCAAAAGACTGGAAGCAACCAAAATTCTATTAGCAAGAGACTGGCTAAGCAAATCATGGTATATCCAAGGTTTGGAATACTGCTTGTAGAAAAATATATAAATTATATAACCTGTGCAGTTTAAACCCGTGTTGTTCATGGAGCAACTGTATATATATAATGTACTCACTTGTAATGCATAGAATGTCTCAAGATGAATCATAATAAATTGGCAATATTATTTTTTTATTTTTTTTATCCTCACCCGAGGACATTTTTTTATTTTTTGTTCAGACAGAGCGGGACGGAGAGAGAGGAAGAAAGAGAGAGAGAGAGAAACATCAACATGAAAGGGACACATCGAGTGGCTGCCACACACATGACCCAACCAAGGCCGAGGACAAACTGCAACTGAGGTACATGCCCTTAGCAGGAACCGAACCTGGGTCTCTCTGGACCATAGGCTGACGCTCTAACCGCTGAGCCAGACAGGCCAGGGCGCCAATATTATTTTTGAGGAAGCAGACTGGGTGGCTGGGAGATTTCACTTTTTCCTTTTGTACCTTAAGAATAAAGTAAATGTGCACCCTGGCCATTTTGGCTCATCAGTTAGAGCATTGGCTCACAGACCAAAGAGTCTCGGGTTCGATTGTGGTCAAGGGCACATACCTCTGTTGTGGTTCATCCCGGGCCCTGGTTGGGGTCGTGCAGGAGGCAACCAGTTGATGTATCTCTCTCACATCGATGTTTCCCTCTTTCTCTCCACCCCCCGCCCCAACTCTATCTGAAGATAAATAGAAAAATATTCTTGGGTGAGGATTTAAGATTAAAAAAAGAATAAAATAATTCAAAATAATTAATTTTTTATTTTCAACAAAAGTGAAAGAAAAAGGATGGTTTTTTTTTTAAACAAATGGTGATGGATCAATCTGATATCCACATTCAAAAACAAACACTTTTGAGCCCTACCTGACACCATATATAAAAATCAACTCACAATAGATCAGAGCCCTAATTGTAAAACTTAAAACTATAAAACCTTCTGGAAGAAAACATAGGTGAAAATTTTTGTGATCTTGGATTACAGAAAGATTTCTTAGATTTGACATCAAAAGCATAATCCATGAAGGGAAAAAATGATAACTTGACGGCTTCTGTCCTTCAAAGACATTGTTAAGAGAATGAAGAGATAAGCTATGAACTGCAGAAAATATTTGCAAGTCACATGTCTGATAAAGGCCTTGTCTGCAGAATGTATTAAAAACTAAAAACTCATTAAGAAGGAAAACCAATGGGAAAAGTATCTGAACAGATAGTTCACCAAAAAATATGTATGGTGGTATATAAGCGCTTAAAAAGATGTTAAACATCAGTCATTAGGGAAGTGCAAATTGAAACCACAATGAATTACTACCACACACCTACTAGAATGTCTAAAATGGAAAAGCTGATCCTACCAGGTGTTAGTGAGGATGTAGAACAGCTGGAAAATTCATACACTGCTGAAGAGAGGGTAAAATGGTATAACCACTTTGGAAAATAATTTGATAGTTTATTTCAAAGTGAAACATACTACTACCATATGACCCAGCCATTGCATTCCTAAGTATCTACCAAAGATAAATGAAAACATGTATACACACAGACTTGTACACAGTTCACAGCAGCTCTGTTTGTAATAGCTAAGAGCTGGAAATAACTCAGGTGTCCCACAGTTGAATGGATAATTGTGGTATAGCCATATGATAGAATACTGTTCAGCAACAGAAACAAATGAACTGTTGATACATGCAAAATATTGAATCTCAATTATGCTGAAAGAAGCTATTTAAAAAAGTATATACAATATGTTTCCACTTACATAAAAGTCTAGAAAATGAAAACTATTGTGACAGAAAACAGATCAGTGGTTGCTTTGGGTGGAGGTGTAGGAACGGGGAGAGACAGAAGGGAGGGAGTTTATTAAGAGGCATACAGGAAGTTTTGCGATGATGGACATATTCATTATCTTGATTACTGTTTCAGGAATTTATATATGTGTCAAACTTGTACATTTAAAGTATACACAGTTTATTGTATATCAGTTACACCTCAGTAAAGCTATTAAAAAGAATAATGTGAATATTACTTATACAAAAGTTATATATTATAATGTTTAAAATAACATTCTTGAAATGACAAAACTATGGAGACAGAGAACAAATGAGTGCTTGTCGGAGCAGTGGATGGGTTTGGGGAAGGGAGTGAATATAAGGAAGTAACACGAGAATTGTTTTGTGGTGATGGAATAGTTCCATATCTTGATAGTGGCAGTGATCACAAATAATGTGCATGGGATCAAATTGCATAGATGTGTGTGCACACACACAGATGCATGCAGGGTTTTTTTATTTTTATCCTCACCCAAGGACATCTTTGCATTTTTATCTTCAGATAGAGCAGGAGGGGGAGGGGGGAGAGAAACATTGATGTGAGAAAGACACACCGAGTGGTTGCCACCCACGTGACCCCAGCCGGGGCAGGGACAAACTGCAACCGAGGTACGTGTCCTTAGTGGGAACCGAACCCAGGCCTCTCTGGTCCGCGGGCCAATGCTCTAACCACTGAACCAAACCGGCCGGAGCCATGCAGGTTTTAATAATGGTGAAAACTGAGTGAGTTCTGTAGTCTAGTTAATCTAGTTAACAGTAATGTACCAAAGTCAACTTCCTGATTTTGATGTTGACCTCTACAACAATATATATCACCATTAGAAACAGGGTGAAGAGTACATGGGACTATTTGTACTATTTTTGCAACATCCTGTGAGTCTATAATTATTTCAAAATAAAGTATTTTTTAGAGGAGTACTCTATGAAGATAATCTGAAGTGATTGTGTAGATATCCTAAAAGTGTTGCAGGGATATAAAATATACTTCTGATTAGGATTCATTCTTCTGTGACACTATTTACTACTTATTTATCTTTGCTTTTATTATGTTAATTTGTGCATTATGTTACATTTTCAAAGTCCATGAAAATCAATTTCTCCCCCATTGTACATGTTACCTTCATAGTTTTATCTCCCTTATCCCTTATTCTGTACTTTCGTGGAGATTGTCATGTATTAGGTTTGCTCATGTTTATTCCCACAAATTTATTTTTGCTTTGGGGTTTTCTTTAAAGAGAAAAACAGCTAATAAAGCTGATTTTATTTATAATAGTAAGCAGATTTAATTAAATAGTTTAAGTTTGGTTTCTAAATTGCTATGTCTTACTCTAACTGCCCATTTATTGTGCTTTGGAAAAGTCAGTTGTTCTTTTCATTCTAAGGTAAAGTCCATTCTTGAGAAGAATGAAGAGGAGCTCACACAAGCAGTGAAGTGTCGTGATGCCGCACTGACGGAGAGTCAGAAGTTGAAAGGGGACCTCGAGGCTTTGGAGGACAGGGAGAACAAGAAGGTCAGGCATCGGTCCTTTCTGAGCATCTGCCACTGGGATGGGGCGCTTGTGAAATCTCTCACAAGCCATATTCCTTCACTTCCTGTTACCTTTAGGAAGAAACAATGAGGATTGATCAGAGGAGGATTTTGTTTTCTAAATAAAACTTTAGAACTGTTTTAAAATGTTTTCCTTAAAGATGTATAATTTAACTCCCAATTTTTTCATCTTTCTGTCTTAAAATAATCAAAAGAAAAAGTCTTAATTTTTTTTGTTGAAACATATCTGATCTTGGTAATAACCTGCCTACTTATACTTTATTAACATGATAGTAACTGCTGCTATTTCATGTTAAATTAAATGACTAAATGCTTTCCACTTAAATGATGTGTGTGCTTATTGAAAACAGAGGTCACATCCCAGACTCCTTGACAGCAGTTGCTAGATTTTGCCTCGCCGAAGAGAGCTGTGAGTGACAGCATTTTTCAGCAACTTCCACTTTCTGTGATGGTCTTTAATCCTGAGATCATTCTCTTGGACTTCAGATGTGTTTTCTGTTCCTGTCATAAGATAGCTGACCAGGGCCAGAGCAGGCCAGTCTGGAACCACCTCTAGATCCAAGAAGTTGTTGGTCCCAATGTCTCTATAATAAATGTGCTGTGTGTGACATGCCAACAGTTGGGATTCACCTCGGAGTTCTCTGTAGGCTCCATAGGGTCTGGGGTCTAGTTTCCTTTTTCTCAAAGTCATATAACTTAAGAAACAAAATAAAAGTAAAATATACTTTAATTATTCCTCTTGGCATTCTACCATGCCTGGCCAGTTTCCATACTGTCTTCCTAGAAGTAATGGGACTCAGCAGCAGCAGCAGAATAATCAGAAAGAATCAAGTATCTTTGTCTGGTTTCATTTTCTTTTAGGTGGGAAACTTTCAGCGACAGCTGGCAGAAGCTAAAGAAGACAACTGCAAAGTTACAATCATGTTGGAGAACGTGCTGGCTTCTCACAGTAAGATGCAAGGTGCTCTGGAGAAAGTGCAGATCGAGCTCGGGCGGAGGGACTCGGAGATCGCCGGCCTCAAGAAGGAAAGGTACCAGAGATGAATTGTTTGTGTTTTCACTTGTATTTTCCTGCTGTACTGTAGTGAGGAGCAGAGTGAAGTCAAGAAACCAAGTCACTTTATATCACTTCCTTTGCAAAAAACTAGTGATGTTTAAAATAACTAATTTAAAGTTAGGGAAAATCTGGAGTCAGAAATTACCATGATTTCAGAAATTCAAAATTCTTATATTTTTGTAGTGATGTAAAGGAGACTTTTACATTTTAGAAATTTATATTATATACTACATTTACCCTTGCTGTTTTCTATACCCTTAAACTTGCCCTTGGATCTACAGAATTGTAATTGTCAAGACAATTGAAGCTAAGTGCCTACTTTAGTTTGAATTATCCATTTATTAGTGTCCTCTTTAAACATTAATAATTATTTTAGATGAATCATTCTGAGAACTACTTCTAGCCATGTTTTATAAGTAAACTCTTTTGAATATTTCAAGGAAAACATAAAAATTTCATTTTTAGATAAGTGAACAAATGGTTTGAGTTTAACAAGCCTCTAAAGTAGATTATAATGTGTATATTAGTGGTGCATATTGCCTCTGATATGGGAGAACTAGTGAGTTTAATATTCTTCATTGTGCTTATCTTTATTTTTTACATATTATGAATGTGTATTATTACTTCTGCACTTAAAAAGAAAATCCAAGGCTATTAAAAATACTGTTTAGTATTCACAAAAAAATTCTAGGTAGCTGTTGTATTTAGAAGCAGAAATCTCAACATCAAGCTAATCCATGTAGAGGTGATGCATTTTTGTACTAGTGAATATATTCCCTCACCACTTAACGCTTCGACTTTCGCGGCTTCACTCTGTGGCATTTTTTTCAAATATATTCATTAAAAAGTTCATCAAGACAGTGAAAATGATAAAGTGCACACTCGGTTGCCTGAGTCAATTATACACTCCTGTATTAAAATTAAAATGAAAATTACTGCACGTATGGACTGTAGGCCTATGTATTTGAGCACCCCCGGAATCCTTCAACGCCAGGCGCAACCACAGAGTCTGGAACGGATTAACTGCGATAAACGAGGGACAACTGTATTTGTAATTTATATATTATATATAGATTATAAAATTACCAGCCTGAAAGTTAGTTATTTACATGTATTGATAACTTAATGCAGCAATTTTCAACCTTTTTTATCTCGTGGCACACATAAACTAATTACTAAAGTTCTGCAGCACACCAAAAAAACAGGTATAATTTTGATTCATTTACACCAGACTGCAATTATTGTGTTGGCTGTTGTCATTTTTTTAATTTGACGATCTAAGGGAAAAGAGGTCAGTGCCCCTGACTGGTCAGCTATTGCATGTTTTAAAATTCTTGCCGCGCCCTGGTTGAAAATCACTGGCTTAATATATCAAGCCAAACAAATGTCCCATAGCTGGGATGAGTTTTTAATCCATAGTAGCCTTCATTTCTTAACCTGAAGCTGAGGCTACTAATTGTCACCTGCCAACTCGCAGATATTCTGAGCATTCATAGCCTGCTACATATGCTGTTTGAACTTCTTGGAAGAAAAGTGCCCTGTAACTCTCAGTGGTATCATTCCTAGATGGTTCTTTTCTATAGTCACTCTTCCTGTGCTTTCATTTTTAGGGCTTTAAATCAACAGAGGGTGCAGAAGCTGGAAGCAGAAGTGGACCAGTGGCAGGCCAGAATGCTGGTCGTGGATGCCCAGCACAACAGTGAGGTAGAGGCCAGGTTGTTATTCATGATAATGCTGAAATTTTTGGTTTAATTGGGATATTGCTATTTTGGGGAAATTGAGTAAAACAGGTTGATTTCCTTTTCATTCAAGTCTGAGTTTTGGACAGTGACTACTAATAGGATATGGGCCTGCAATCTTACAGTAAGTCATTTATTGGGGAACCAGGACCAAAATTATATATTCTTTTTGCCTTATATGGTTCACATTCTTTTCATTTATTAATGCATAAGTGATTACAGAAGTTAAAGGACTTGGAGAATAAACTATATCCTACGTCAGAAGTAGCTAGAGAAATTTCACTATTAGAAGGACACACATATTCATGTGTGCCCACAGGTGTTTGTATACATAAAAGCATATCTACTCATAATGCATTTATATAAAATACACATGGATATTTTAAATAAATAAGGTTTTTTTCTGGAAGGATATACAAGGAACAGTTGCTAGTTCTTATCTCTCTAGACAGTGAGACCAAAGGTCATAGGATCAGGAAGGGTAATTTAACTACTTTAAACATTCAAAAATTAGGATAAATTAAGTTGGCTCTATTTTCCAAAGCTCTCTAATGACCCATGGAGCATACCCTTCCTATGGCCTTCTCAGAGTCTCCAAAGCAACATCCATAATAAATTCTCACATATAATTCCAGGCATGTGGAATCTCTGGTTCTGATTCCAACTACTTATAGTTTCAGTGGCTCTTGATGAAGTAAAGTAGGTAAGGAGTGACTACAGAGTGTTATGGACTTTGTGTGTCTGTTATAATGGAATTAAAAACCCTCTTCTCTCTTTCAGATTGAGCCTCTGCAGAAAGCTCTAGATGTAACTAGAGAAGACAACAGGAAACTGGCTATGAGCCTGGAGCAAGCTCTCCAGACGAATAACCATCTGCAAACAAAGCTTGACCATATCCAAGAGAAACTGGAAAACAAAGAACTTGAGCGACAGAATTTGGAAACCTTCAAGTAAGGGCGGTACAGGCACAATGAGATTAGGGGAGAGCCTCTGGGAGAGTGCGTTGGCTCAGACACATCACCTATTTCAGTGTTTTCCCTACTTTGAACTAGCACTCCCAGCCAGCAGGCCAGCTGAGCAGCAGCAGATACCTGCTGCCTGGGGGGCCTGTTTTCAACTCTTCCCTAGTCTAGTGTCAAGCTGCTTCTATACACAAAGATGAAACCAAAGTTTAGCAAATACTGGTTAGAAGGGACAGTTGAATGTTTCTGCCAGACCTTTCTTTCAAAAGCTTATGTCCTTTAAAAGCATGATTTGGAAAAGAAATAACCAGAGCCTGGAAGGGTTATTCCCATCCAGGAGTGGGATGACTCCATCGAGGCAGATGCTAAACCATTGTTTTCAGTTTGGGCCTGAGATTAGTTAGGTCAAACCCATCAAGTTCAGGTCAAGCCACTCTGGTTTTGTCTTAAACTGTATCTAGGTAAATACGATTTAGATATCAGTAATGAGCCCTGGCCAGTTTGACTCAGCGGTTAGAGCGTCGGCCTGCGGTCCGGAGAGACCCGGGTTTGGTTCCCGCTAAGGGCACGTACCTCGGTTGCAGTTTGTCCCCGGCCCTGGTTGGTCGTGCGGGTGGCAGCCACTCGATGTGTCCCTTCACATCGATGTTTCTCTCTCACTCTCCCTTCCTCCCACTCTATCTGTACAAAAAATGGAAAAATATCCTCGGGTGAGGATAAAAAAATAAATAAAAAAAATAGATATCAGTAATGAAAATGTATACCCAAGGGAAATGCAGTGTGCACATAGGTCTTCATTCCTTTCTAGTAGTGAACATATTGACATAGGGGACAGGTATAAGCTAAAGCAGAGAAGGTATTTTTTTTATCTGTGATCTGTGAAAATTTTTTCTTTTTCTTCTTTATTGATTTCAGAGAGAGAGGATAGGAGAGGGAGAGAAGGAACATCAGTTGGCCACCTCCCGCATGCCCCCCCACTGGGGATTGGGCCCACAACCTGGGCGTGTGCCCTGACGGGAATTGAACCTGCGACCTCTTGGCGCATGGGTCGATGCTCAACCACTGAGCCACACCGGTCGGGTGATATGTGCAAATTTTATATTCTGATGTAATGTTACTAGCTAAAGACTATTCATTGGTTGAAACAAGAGTATGTTTCATTCTTTTGGTTGGGTCTCTATATGGAAGGGCTATTTTGTTTAACACTGCAGGTAATGCCTTTTTTCTTCTTTTAATGAGCTCCAGATCAGTGAGGTTCACCTAGTGAATGATCTGCTTCTCATTTATTAATCACTCGCCTTTTGGAAGGTTGCACATTTCCCTCCAGATCTTTCTTACCTCCTAAGACGATTTCTATGTTTTTTGTTTTTTTTTAATCCTCACCGGAGGACACTTTTCCATTTTTTGTTCAGATAGAGTGGGAGGGAGAGAGAGGAACGGAGAGAGAGAAACATCGATGTGAAAGGAACACATCGAGTGGCTGCCACCCGCACGACCGACCAGGGACAAACTGCAACCGAGGTACACGCCCCTAGCGGGAACCGAACCCGGGTCTCTCAGGACCGCAGGCTGAAGCTCTAACCACTGAGCCAAACCGGCCAGGGCCTAAGACGATTTCTAAAGGTGATCTATCATCTGTCTTTTCAAAACAGGGAACGGATGACCGAAGAATCTAAAATGGAAGCAGAAGTGCATGCTGAGCGCATAGAAGCGCTGAAAAAGCAGTTTCAAACGGAGAGGGACACTGCAAAGAAAATGAACCAGCGGGAAATAGCTGAGGTGTGGAGTCAAGGGACAAAAATGTTTCTCTAGCTGCATGCCTTTTAAGAGAACTAACTATTGGATGCAGTTATTCTTTGCCTCTTTTAACCCCCCTGACCAGCCAGCCAGATGCAATCAAGCCATCTCTGTGCGTTTGTAAACTGACACACCAAAAAAAAACTGTTTCTCAACACAGTTCTCTGTCAGTGAAGGAAGCCTCCATGAGAGTTTTTCCACTGGAGAGCAGTAACTGAGTGGGGCGGGGGTAAGGGAGGTAAGGAGACTCACCAGAGAGGCATGTCAGGTCACGTGTCTCCTCAGTCTGCCTCACCGGCACCCATCAGGCAGTGACCTTCCTGAGAGGCCCGTGTAAAAGCAGAGGCAGATCCATGGTCCGTGCTCTGGGGTGTCCTCGTTTAATTGTGGTGTCCACTCCACATGAGACAAATAGGGAAACCATCAGAGGACTTTCCTTGGATAACTAGGGGCTGTGTCTAGTTCTGAAGGAATTTAAAGTTAGAGCACGTTTGTTTTATAGGCTGGTTGGGTGATAAAAGAAGGGAAGTTGGCTTGAGACGGGCCGAGCTCACAGACAGCCAGTGTAAGAGGATGAGCAAAGCTTAGTAACACGAACAGGACATGTCTGCCTTGATCAGAGCACAGACTGGGAAATGTCAGAAAGAGCAGCTAGCTTGGATGGGCCCAGCAATGGTCTGGACTACCAGAATGTGTTCTAGTCTCAGAAAGATCATTTTCTTGGAGGTTAGCAACTGCGAACATACATGTAAAGCTTTTGAGAGAATTCAGTGCACCGGGGAGACTTACTATGATTATTATAAGGAGGATAATTCCTGATGTCTGGAGTGTATTTCTGAGCCATGATCCTCAGAACCCAAACCAGTCAGAATTGATAAGTCAAAGAAAGACCCCATTGAAGGAGTCACTTTCTAAAGCCAACGGGTTTGTTCTGTGATCTTATATTGCTAAGCCTCAGTTTTCCCAGAAGTGTCCATCCAAATACAGCAAGTGGTGTGGGCCATAGCACAAACACCTCCTTGCTCATCTAAAAGGTAATCAAGGGCTATCCTGTGATCAAGAACAACATTGGCCAGAGAGTCTAGGAATTTTTGTTGGAGAGCATTGCTTTAGCAGCAGATCCTACAATATCTTTATAAGAGTTAAGGCAAGGCCCTGGCCAGTTTGGCTCAGCGGTTAGAGCATCAGCCTATGGACCAGAGAGTCCCAGGTTTGGTTCCTGCTAAGAGCACATACCTCAGTTGCAGTTTATCCCTGGCCCTGGTTGGGGTCGTGTGGGTGGCAGCCAGTCAATGTGTCTCTCTCACATAGATGTTTCTCTCGCGCGCGCTCTCTCTCTCTCTCTCTCTCTCTCTTCCTCCCTCTCTCTCTCCTGCTCTATCTGAAGATAAATGCAAAAATGTCCTCAGGTTAGGATAAAAAAAAATAAAAATAAAAAAAAGAGTTAAGGAATGGTTCCAGATCCCAGCCTCCTTTGCATCTACTCCTAGACAAGGCCCTAGGGATCTGCCAGTTTTGAATTATGAATGGTTCCAGATAATTTTCACTTGAGCCTGTGGCTCAGGACTGGAAAGGTGACAGCCATGGAGACCAGTAAGATTTAAGGGTCTATAGACCACATAAGTGGCTTTATTATTCTGGTTACCTTTGCCTTGTGTCCTTTTTTTTGTACAGGGTCTGATGTAAGTTTCTCAGGTTTGAATTTTTGACATGGGGTTTGGAAAAGGATCCCCATGGTTAGGGAGTCTGACACAATGGAGAGAGGAATGAGTTTGTTCCGGAGAAAGAGGATTTGTAAATCAGGGAGAAGTATGTGATGAGCAGAACTGCAGGGTCACCAGCATTGTGGCAAATCCAACAGTTGTTTGGATGTAGAGTTAACCCACTTTGCAGTGGCCTGAGATATGTGAACAGCAGCACTTCTTGGCCAGCCAGAGCAAGGCAAAAGTGGACAGGAGAGTTATAAAGACCTTCATGTCATAAGAATTAGGAAAAGGATGGTCAGAGAGAGGAATGGAAAGAAAGGATCTTGGGAGGAAGCAGTGTACCTCAATGTCGGTATACCTTCTAGTCAGTTTAATTTTAAAATCTCCGGTGTTTGCACAGGACCAGACATCAAGTGGAGTCCTCTTCATTTGTGAAATGTGCACCCAAGGTTCTTCAACATCATGTAATTTGGCAGGGGTGTCAGTGGATAAGAGTACTTTAGGGACCTTTCCATGAATCTCACTTTTGCAAAAGCATCAGAGTAAAAGAATAACTGTAAAGGACAGGAGACTTAAAAATGTCCATGGATGAAGATCTAATAAGAGTTCATTATGCCCTAGCCGGTTTGGCTCAGCGGTTAGAGCGTCGGCCTGCGGTCTGGAGAGACCCTAGTTCGGTTCCCGCTAAGGGCATGTACCTCGGTTGCAGTTTGTCCCCGGCCCTGGTTGGTCGTGCGGGTGGCAGCCACTCGATGTGTCCCTTTCACGTCGATGTTTCTCTCTCTCTCTCTCCCTCCCACTCTATCTGTACAAAAAATGGAAAAATGTCCTCGGGTGAGGATTAAAAAAATAATAATAAAAAAAATAAAAAAATAAAAAAAAAGAGTTCATTATAATACAACTGATAAGGAAAGTGGTAATTTCTATGACATACAAAATTTTAAGATAATAACTGGAATTATTACTGATAACATTATGCTAAGACATTAGATTTTTAGTAATTTCATACAATCTAGAACACTTATGTAAAAAAAGTGTATCTGTACAAATAAAACCTAAGAAGATTTATCATCAATTATTTGACAATACTTCTCAGGTAATTTAATATACCAAATAAACCTAATTTAACATCTCTCTTTTACAAAATAAGAGGCAGTTGCATTGAGATTTTTCAGGGACCCTGGGAAATCTCAAAGTCACTTTGAGGTAAAAAAAACTACTCTATTTAGAATTTGATTTTTGGGAAGTTGTCTAAATTTCATAAGGTTTGAACATTTGACCAAATAGTATTACAAATCATTATGAAACAATAATTATTTAAAGTGACAATTTTATTGATGTAATATTGGGTAATAACATTATATTATAAATTTCAGGTATACCACCTTATAATTTGATACCAGTATACTCTATTGCATGCTGACCACAAAAAGCCTAGTTTCCTTCCATTACCATATATTTGACCCCCTTTGCCCTTCCCCTCTGGTAACCACCATTCTGTTTTCTGGATTCATGAGTTTAGTTTTTTTGGTTTGTTATTTTGTTTTATCATAGTTGTTTCTTTTCCAGTCTGATTTATTTCACTTAGCATAATAACCTCAAGATCTATCCATCTTGTCACAAATGGCAGTATTTCACCTTTTTTATGGTAGATTAGTATTCCATTGTCCATGTGTACTACATCTTCTTTATCCATCCATTGGTGGATACATAGGTTGTTTCCATATCTTGGCTATTGTAAATAATGCTGCAGTGAAAGTAGGAATATATTTATCTTTAGATTTAGTGTTTTCATTTTCTTTGGATAAATACCCAGAAGCTTTTTAGTTTGATTTATTTATTTTCTTCTTGCCTTTGGAGTCAAAATCACAAAACACCAACACCAATGTCCAGAAACTTAGTGTCTATGTTTTCTTCTATGTATTTTATTTTTTCAGGCCTTACATTCAAGTTTTTAAGCCATTTGAGTTCATTTCTGTGTTTGATGTAAGATAGTGGTCTAGTTTCATTCTTTTGCATGTGGCTGCCCAGTTTTCCCAATACCACTTATTGAAGAGACTTTTCTTTCTCAGTTGTATATTCTGGGCTCCTTTTGTCATAAATTAGTTGCCTAAATATGTGTAGGTTTTTTCCCTGGGCGCTCGATTCTGTTCCATTGGTTTGTGGGTCTGTTTTTCTGCCAGGGCCATACTGTTTTAATTGCTGGAGGTTGTAGTATAGTTTGAAATCAGAGTTTGGTACCCCATTTGTTATTTTCTCTCAGATTGCTTTGGCAATTAGAGGTATTTTGTGCTTCTATACAAATTAGAGGATTTTTATTTTATTTCTGTGAAAAATGCCATTGGGATTGTATTGAATATGTAGATTGCTTTAGGTAATGTGGACTTTAATAGTGATTATTTTTCCAACCCATGAACAGGGAATATCTTTCCATTTTTTGTGTGTCTTCAATTTCTTTCAACAACACCTTGTGATCTTCAGTGTATATTATGTTTATTCTTAGGTATTTTTTTCTTTCTGTTGTGACTGTAAATGTGATATTTTGTTATTAGTATATAGAAACTTAATGGGTATTTGTATATTGATTTTTATATCTTGTAACTTTACTGTATTTTTTCCTAATAGTTTTTTGGTGGAGTGTTTAGGATTAGCATTTTCTATATATAAAATGAAGTTGCTCACAAATATTGACAGTTATACTTCTTCCTTTCCATTTGGATGCCTTTTACTTCTTGCCCTGTTGCTCTGGCTAGGACTTCCAGTACTGTGTCGGGTAACAGTGGCGAGAGGGGGCCTCCTTGCCTTACTATTCCTGAGAAAGCTTTCCGTTTTTTCACTCTTGAGTATGATATTAGCTAAGGGTTTGTCATATCTGGCCCTTATTAAATTGAGGTACATTCTTTCCATACCTGTATGTTGTGTCCTGTCAAATGCTTTTTCTGTATCTACTGAGATGATCATATCAATCAGGGGAAGAAGCTGGATTCTCAGGTGCCAACGCTGCTTCTGCCCCTTGTACCCTCTTTTGGGTCATAGTGTGGGGGCCACAGGCTCAGCTATAGCAGCCAGGGACCCTGTCTGTGGACACCATCCCTGTTCTTTCCCCGTCCTGCCTCACCTGTGCAAACTAATACACCACCTTTATATGTACTGATGCATGGCTCTCTCAGGTATGCCAGTGTGTTGAGCAGACAAACATAGATGTTCGTCTAGTTGTAGATTTAAGGGGAGATCAAAAGGGTTTTTCCTACTTTGCCATGATGCTGATGTCACTCCAAAAAATTGATTGTTAAAGGCAAATACAGAAGGTTACATAGTTGTGAACAAAATGTAACTCATAATATTGAGAAGACTGGGTTTCCCTAAGTATGCAAAGACCTGATAAAGACAGTGGGAAGCACAGTATATTATTTTGGTATGATACAAATCTTTGCTTTCTAGGTAGATTAGCCAAAAGGTTTTAAAAAAAATCTGTCACAATCTCTTATTAGGAACAAATTAATAGTTTAAGAAAACTTTGTACTTATAACAGAAAGAAAAGAAAAATTCTATTTCAACCTTAGCCAACCTGAAACACACAACATTTCTTTCCCAAGATTCTTTTTCCACAAACCCACAACTTTTTAAAATACTCATTCAGACTTTGTCCTGTGCTAGTCTTCTTTCTCATTCTGGAACAATCACTTTTCCTTCACTTTCTTCCTCTCACCCTCATTATTTCTAAATAGCTTTCATTACATATATTGATTAGAATTCCCAACCCTTAGAGTCCTTAATTTCTAGTGAGAAGTAAGCAATTGTGGTCCGTTAACACTGTCATTCTGTGAATTGGCAAATACATTTTATAGTTTCTGGCTTCTTCCTCACAGTAAATTTTTCAATGTGTACAAAATATTTAACTAATATACCTAAATATCTTCAGTTTCTCTGTAAAAATAAGCCAAGATGGATAAACTTGTGTTCACTAATGTTTCAGTGTTTTATCTTATTTGGAAAGAATCTAGAGATTCAATGAATATCCATCATTTAAACTACCTCAGTGTAATTTTAAGGCACCAGAAAAAATTTTGGAAACTTTTATGGTATACCCATTTAATTCACTTGTTCTTAATTTTTAGATTACTCATGAAATAGTAAACAGCTAATCTCATCCTCTCTTTCTTACTGACAAATTTTGTGAGAGATAATGAGCTTATTTGAGTTTTAGTAAACCTAGGTAGAATAAAAATTATTATATTTAATTCTGATAACTCTGAAGACATGCCTATTATAATGAAACTAGCTTTTATTTACCAAAGATTATCCCAGGTCATGTTAGTTTCTATATTTCTCAAATTATACTTGATTTATATAAGTGCTTAATTTATTTAAGCCAATTAAATAAAGCTCGCAAATTGATTTTGGCAATACCATCCAGAGGTAGAAAGAAAAAAAAACCCACACATTTATAACATACATAAACAACAGGCAGACACAAATGGAGATATTTAAAGTTTTAACCATGAGACAGGTACAATAATAGAAAACTCACTAGTTTATAAAGGAACAGTTGGATCCAAGCTGTGTTTCTGGCAGATGGAGTAAGTTGTGGTTACCTGCTCAGATGGCTAGAGCTTGTTACTGTAAAAGAGACTTTTAAATTTTTTCTTGGGCCTGGTTTTCAAAAGGCTTCAGGGTTTTTTGGTTAACTTTTTTCTCCTTCTGATAAGAATTCCCTTGGTTCCTGGAGAAGACCAGGTAGAATATTTACATCTCCAAGGGCACAGAGAAAGAACACGAATTCCACTAAGAAGGACTTTTGTTTCCTAAGTCCAGATCTTTCTTTTACAGTATCTGCAAGCCTTTCGAGATGAACAGGGAGGTATTGAGATTGGTGGGCTTTGAATTGTGTATAGAGCTGCACTTCTGTTCTTAAAAGATTCCATTTGTAAGACAAGTGCAGTTGTTTTAACTTCTGAAAGAGATGGAGGCTGACCACTCATCCAACCGCATTATTTTCAGTTTGTTTGTTGTTGTTTTTTCATATGAGGAAGAATATCTTCAACTAAAATGGGAATCAAAAGATTCCTATGTTTTTGTAAATCCTCCCACAAAGTCTTCAGAATGTTTTTCTTTCCCTCTGGTTACATAGTTTTGTTTTTAGCTTAGGGGCCTAAAAAAAACAGTTCTCTCAGGTTCTGAATATCAGGTTCCAATTCTAACCATAGAGATACTTAAAAAAAATCCATCCAAATATTTTGCCAGATTTCAGCCAGGACGAACAGTAATATTCCTGACAGCGGAACAACCCCATGGACACAGGAGGTATCCCCAGAGGGGGTGCAAAAGAGACTGCCCTCCCAAAGATACCCGAACCAAAGGAAGAAAGAGTAGGATTCCTCTGGGATTTGACAAGTCAGTAAGACCCTAGCAGCAGATGGAGTACCACCCACATTTCTGTGCATCCATGTTTTAGAGGCCCCCAACCTAACGTGACTGTCAGTTCTCAGGACACAAAACGAGACAACTGGAGGCAATAGATGTCTCTGGGTGAGAGAGTTAACATCCAGCGGGTACCTGAAGGCAGATTCATAGATCTAATTCTTACAGATGTTTTTTGCCTGCCAATCTGAATTTGGAAAGGAAGGGACAATATGAAATTTTACCTTCTCTCCAACCAGGTACCACAGATAGAGATCTGAGATAGCTAACTTTGGTAAGAATTCTTACCCATTTCTGGCTTCTGCCTGTTTTCCCAGGATCCTGTCTGTAGACTCTGAAGTGAGTGGGTGTCCCAGTGGGTCTCATCCTAGTCACTAGAAACTGGAGAGAAAAAATAATTTTCCCTCTTCCCTTTATGGTGAGCGCTAGGCGGAGACCCCTTTTTCTTTGGGGCACCTTGTAAATGGATACACTTATTTAGGTTAAAAGTTCTCCGCTGTGGCCACTGTAATTCAAGATTATCTTTAGTAAGGTTAACCTGCATGTTCAGCCTTAAAACAAAAGTTTTATTCACCCAAGGTCTCACACTGGGTCAAAGTCCAGCATAAGTTGCACAAAGTCTGATCCAATCTGGTTTTTAGTTGGACCCAGTCTGGAAATAGGAAATGTTCAAATGATGTCTGAAAGCTCACAGTGCAAAAGCTGCAGAGCTGGACTCACCTTTGCCTGTGACCTCCAGATGCACTGAGAAGACAGGGAGCTCAAAGGGCTCAGTTGGGTACCTTTCCCTGGTTGCTCATTGCTCCTGGGGGCTAGCAGGGGTCTTCAGTTCCCTCTTCTGACACCAGAACTGTTCAAAGATAAACTAAGGCATATTAAAATTTTTAAGAGTTGACTTGAGCAAAACTCAATTCGAGTCAGGCAGCATCCAATCTAGCAGATAGAAGAGCTGCATAAAATGAGAAGGAAAGAGCAGGAAAAGGAAGTTATACTAGACAAAAAACAGGGTGGTTACAGCAGTTATTATCCCTTAGGGCATAGTAGGGCTCTGTTAGGAAGATTACCCAACTAATGTTGATCAGGTGCTTCTGATTGATTGTTTCAGCAGTCCGTTTCAGAGAGCGCCAAACCAAGTTTCACTTTGGTGACATCACATAAGTGACTCCATTTTGGGCCTTTTGTCTTGTTTATAACAGTGATCACTATGCTATTTTTCTACTAGACAAATTTATTAAAATATTGAAAAACAAAAGGCAATATTATAAAAATACATGCAGTGATAGTCAATAACTGACATATTGATATAAACTACCATTTTAATTTATTTTCACTTTTCCAGACATGGGGTCACAAGTGAGAGAAAAACTTAAAGTATGGTAATGATTACTGAGCAGTTAAGATGTGGCAGGCTCTGCGTTCTTTCTGTACTGCATCTCATTTAACTGTTACATTAATCCTGTGAGGTAGGCTGTTCACACATTTCCAGTGATGAACCCAAGTCTTAGGGACGTTAATTATCCAAAATCATGTGGTTGATAAGCGGTGAGCTGAGATTTGAACTTTGGTCTGACTCTAAAGCCACACTCTTTTTTTTGTTTGTTTGTTTTGTTTTGTGTGTTTTTTTATCCTCACCCGAGGACATTTTTTGATATTTTGTTCAGATAGAGTGGGAGGGAGAGAGAGAGAGAGAGAGAGAGAGAGAGAGAGAGAGAAAGAAAGAAACATCGACGAGAAAGGGACACATCGAGTGGTTGCCACCCGCACAACCCAACCAGGGCCGGGGACAAACTGCAACCTTAGCGGGAACTGAACCTGGGTCTCTCTGGACCGCAGGCCGATGCTCTAACCACTGAGCCAAACCAGCTAGGGCTAAAGCCACACTCTTAAAAGAGCAAATGTTGAACTTAAACATTTACATTATTTATCTGTCCCAAGAAAGATTGTTCTCTAGTGTTAAAAAGTATGAAAATCACTTAGAGTGTTCCTCCACTAATCTATTTAATCAGACATTATAATTGCCTCACTTACCCTCCTTTTCAAAAGAAAGGTTTAAAGAGAACAAAAGACGGAGATAAACATACACTTTTCTTACTAAATGGAAGGCAAAAATGTTCTAAATTTCCCTTGTGTTCCACAGCTGAAGAAAGCCCTTGATGAAGCCAACTTCAGATCAGTGGAAGTATCCCGTACCAACCGAGAGCTGCGGCAGAAACTTACCGAGTTAGAGAAGCTACTGAACAGCAGCAAGGAGAAAATAAAGAATCAAAAGGCCCAAATTAAGCTCCACTTGTCGGCTAAGGCGAATAATGCTCAGAATTTAGAGAGGATGAAGGTTGTATGAGAAACTCGATGTCTCCCTCACTTCCTTAGTACCTGAGGCAGACCCGGGCAGGCAGTGCTGGGAGGATGGTTTCAGACACTGGCAGACCCGAGTCTCCGAGTTACAGCTGTACCTGGAGTGGGCAGATAGTCCCCCAGGCAGTCCCTTTTCCAGCTAAGATGCTGCTTATAAATGTTTGCTTTCTCATTAGCTGCCAGTGTCATGTTCTAGCTCCCCATTTGTCTCTTCATGGGGACTGTATGGGACTCTGCCCTTTCGGGGTCAGTGGGCTGGATGGGAAGGAGAACCCAGTAGGAACGGAGAAAACTTCACAGTTCTGTCATCCTAGCGGCAAAAAGAGCGCACCAGCTATTTCACTGATCTTTCTGTTATTTTCACCTTTACTTTCAGCAAATAGAAACAGAACTGAGGCAAATGGAGCTAATTAAGGATCAATATCAGAAAAAAAACTATGAACAGGTAGATGATTTCTACAAACTCTGTGTTTACCATTCCCATACAATCCCGAACACCAACTGTCCCCCTCTTTGTGCCCTACCAGTCATTGAGTATCCAGAAATTTGTATCTGAAATGACTAACCTACAGAAGGAGATGCAGCTGTTGGCCAGGAGCCAGTATGATACCTCGGCTCGGAACAAGCAGCAAGAGTTGCGGCTGGAGGCAGAGCGGAAAATACGGCAGGAACTAGAGAGCCGGTGCCAGGTGAGAGGTTCCGAAGAGTCCTCTGCAAGAAGAGCTTGTGCCGACCACCCAGCATTAGAGCACCTCTGTGTCCAGACTCTGTAGACGGAAACAGTTACAGTTGCTCTGCACTAAGTTCTTGGAATCATGTCTAGGAGGAAGACTGCAGCTTCCAATACGGCCCAGTTCTCCATTTTCAACCTAATAAAAATGAGTCATTTTTTTAAAGAATAGCTAAAACTTACATGTGCAAAATACTAGTTAGTAAGTAAGATTTCTGAACTGAATTTCATGGTTATCAGGAACTTTACACCCCTGGGTTCTTCCCTGGAGCTCCTCCTACCCTAATGGAAAGCATAACATGATGTCACTGAAGAGGGGCTGGACGAGGCCATCAAGCTCTTGTCTTCCAGCAGAGGCTCTGTGCTGTGAATAACATCCCTCCAATTCGAGAAAGAGATGTTAATCATTCTTCTCAGGAGAATCCATAAATCAAAATATGTAATCATATATACATATGTATACTGTAGGTTACACTCAAAATAACAGCTTTTATCTTATATTTGGGTAGCACCTAAAGTTAGAATTATCCAGTCATAGTTTCATAATTCGGTTACTTGCTTATTACAGATATTGAAGCTTTTTGTTTGGTATGGTACATTGGGACTTTGTTTTAATTTTTTTTTTCTTTTAATTGATTTTTAGAGAGGAAGAGAGAGGGGGAGAGAGAGAGAGACATTGATGAGAGAGAACATTGATTGGCCACCTCCCGCATGCCCCACACTGGGGATCGGGCCCACAACCTGGCATGTGCCCTGACCGGGAATCAAACTGGCGACCTCTTGGTGCATGGGCCGACACTCAACCACTGAGCCACACTGGCCGGGCTACATTGGGACTTTGTAAAAATCTTGTATCATGTTTTCAGGGATTGGAAGAAACTATAAGACACCTCAGGAAGTGTAAAGAGGCAACAGAGAATAAACTGAAAGAAGCCAGTGTGGAATCAGAACAGGTAAGCCATGGGCATGGAGACTTAGACAGTTACTTCCTCAGGCACAACAGCCTTGAGACGCTCACGTCAGTGCAAAACCTTCATTAACATAGCTGTCAGAGTGCAGCAGGCAAGACCAGTACCTCACTAAGTATAGGCTCTGTATAACGAAGAAATCATTTTTAGATTAAGATTTTGTGTCCTGATGAGAGATACTGGAATGCTGAAATATTGACAAAACCTGAAGTCCAAGCCCCTCCCTACTGGAAGGAAGCCCGGCAAGTGCGGCTTTCAGCGCACGGATTGACGTGAACTGGTGGAAGGGGAGCTCTGCTCAGTCAATAGCTAGACGTGGGAAGTGGGCCCTACTAATTTGTGAATTTGCTTTCTGTTCTAATATTTTAAATTGACTTTTGGAAGGTATTTAAAATCATATATTTTTAGAGCTGGAAAGGATCTTTGAGATCATTAGTTTACTACTACCACCCTCGTTTTCCAGATAAGAAAACCGATTCTTAAGCTACAGGTATTACAGTGAAGTTGCCATCAGTTGGTCATGATTTTTCCCTTTTATAGCTATTAAATTACATGACAATAAGACTGTCAAAATGGTATATTAGAAAGAATATGGACTGTAACAACCCTGAGTTTGAATGCCAACTGGGACACCTACTGTGCCCTTAACTCGCCAGTTGCCATGTCAGGAAGTGAATACCTACGAGACTGTTATTCTGATAGGTAGCTCAGAGTAAGTTTCAATAAATGTTAGCTGCCTTCTCCTTCGCCACGCAGGAGGAGACATGATGTACAATGCCATTTCAAGCATCTTTTCCTCCACTCCTGGTAAAAGTGCTGGAGAAAGGTGGGGTTCGGTTCGGTTTGGGGAGTGGGAGTGTCACTGTCATCAGGATGCACAAACAGACCTGGAAAGTATCTTTGCTTTGTAGCTGTCTAAAGTCTAATAACAAGGGGAGCTCTACTGTCCTATCTCACTATGTTATACCTACACTGCGACCTGGCTAGTGTAGGGCAGATACATAGCAGTACATTTATCGAGGACCTGCTGTGGCCGGCGCCAGGGGAGGGAGAGCCAGGACCCACCAGCCAGACAGAGCCCTTGCTTTCGTGGTGCTCGCCCTCTCCCGGGCCTCAGAATCAGTAAAATAAAATCTGTCAATGAAACAAGTAATCAAAGGGGGAAAACCAGTCATTTTACTTTTTATTCTAGACCTGTTTTGAAGCAACCTTTATATAAAATAAACATCTGTTGGCTCTGCCTTCAAAATACCAAAGTATCCCAAATACTTGTAAAAGTGCCAGGCACCTATAAGCACGCAGTAAATATGTATCAAATAAATAAATACTGATTCCAATTCATCATCTTCAAAGACAGATTAGCAGAGGGACTGTTTAAGTCTCACAAAGACAATTTCAAAGTGTGTGCTTATGAGCTAAAGTATATTTTTATGATAAAGGGAATAAAATGAATACAACTTACAGTAAGCTGGTCCAGTTATTTAGTAATTCTATTACTTTCATAAAGTAAAACAGAAAAATCCAGCCTTTACAGCTTAGAGACCTAGGAGAAGTATGGTTTGAGCTACCATTTTCTCCTTCAGTGCCGTCTTGTACTGTGGATTCTTAGTTTACATTCAGGAAATGCTAGGAAAGGCATAGCAAGCCGCAGGCCTGCGTGCCTTCTTAACTCCGCGTGCAGCATGGCGTCTCATCCATAGGATGTGCATTGTGCAAATAGGTTGCAAGGACCTTCCCATCAGAATTTGGGTCTTTTAATATCTAGGTGAAAAGGCTCTTGAACTAATACAAGAAAACTTATGTTTGTTGTAACTTTTAATGATAACATTTATATGTTCAGATAACAGCTAACCTGGAAGAAGCTCATCGCTGGTTTAAGTGCAGGTTCGACGGCCTACAACATGAGCTGACCAAAAACCGGTTGCAAAGGCTGCCCCGGGAAAACAGGTGGCGGGAAGAGGTAGGGCATAGACCTGACTGTCGTATGCAGGTCTTAGATTTCTAATTACAGAAGTTCTCTCTTCATCAGCTATTCGCTTAACTGATCTTAGATTTATTTAAACTACTGCAAGGAAAGCAATGAACTAAATTTTTTTCTTAAAAGTTCCACCTCTGCCCTGGCCAGTTTGGCTCAGTGGTTAGAGCGCCAGCCCTTGGACCTGAGAGTCCTGGGTTCAGATCCCGCTAAGGGCATGTACCTTGGTTGCAGTTTGTCCCTGGCCCTGGTTGGGGTCATGTGAGTGGCAACCAGTCGATCTGTGTCTCTCACATCGATGTTTCTCTCTCTTCCTCCCTCTCTCCCTCCTGCTCTATCTGAGGATGAATGCAAAAGTGTCCTGCGGTAAGGATAAAAAGTAAAATTAAATTTAAAAAATTAAAAGTTCCACCTCTCCCAAACTGCCTAGATGAGCACCACCTACCTTGATGAATGAATGATATACAGTAAAGACAAAATAGGTCTCAGCTCTTCAGTTAGTTTTGAGCAATGTTAGGTGTGATTTCTTTCCCACAGGACCAAGATAAAAGGCACGATGCCATGTGCAACCAATCTGTTCTGCATCGGTGGGAGAACAAACAGAGTTTTAGACTTGTGCCCAAGAACTACCATTCTGAGCTAGAGAGAAAGTGACGTCCTTGGCAGAGGAGGGCTGCTGCACCACGTGACTCCCTGAGCCCAGCAGCTGGGCTGGCCTGTTCCACAGTCGTCAGAACCTGAAGTCTTCCATGTGGGCTCAAGATTTTGGACCTGAGTTTATCCTTTTATGGACTCTGATATCACTAGAAAACCACCCCATCTTTTTCTTTCCCCATTTTCCACCCAATAAATTTATATTAATTTGTTGTATGATAATAGATGCTGTTCTGTGATACTTGGCTATTTTTCTAAGACATTTTATCAAAAAGCATGTAGTGAGATACTTTATGATACTTCATTTCAGTGAACTGTCCCAGTACAACCCCCAGTAGCTAATCTTTGGAAATAGAATCATGTGGAAAATGGTAAAAACTCTTCCACTGTGTTGTAAACATATGCCCGTGCTGGGTAGTTAGCAGTGCACCTTTAATGAGACTAGTATCTCTGTACTTCTGAGAGACTGGGAATGTCCAAGGAAGCTATAAATACAAAGATGATTAAACAGGGCAGTCTGTTCTTCTCCAGGAGACTCTGCCTGAACAACACAGCTTGCCCTTAATACAGTAAGACATAAATTCAGCTTTATCTTTTTATTTCTGATATTGAACGGCAGATTAGGTAACCCAGACTAAATGAATGTAAATAGATGGTATAATACCAGGCTTAATTGATGTTCAGCTAATGGTAGCTGCTGCTGATACTATTGGGACCTAAATCAAGTGAGCAATTATGAATTACAGAGAATATTAAATATAAGACTGTCAGAGCTTGATGAGCCCACCAGTCACCTTTTTATATCTGATATAAAACAGCCAAATTTATTGCAGTAGGGAGAGCTATGCTGGTCGGCCAGAGTCGGCCGTCATTAGAGCAGCCTGCTGGTCTCATGCAGGGTGTGGGGGAAGCATGCATCTAAGGGTTAGAAGACTTTCAGAGAAATGTTTAAGTGGATTGACATCATCTTTAGAAGTGTGGTACTTGGGTGAGAATTAATTGACTGTCAGAGGCAGGTTTATTGGGGTGCATCCATTCCTGGGTGTTGAACTTTCAGAAGTGGGGACTCCATGATTGGCAGGATAGTAAGAGCACATACACTAAAATAGTTCTCAATGCTCAGTGGAGAAGTTTAAAATGGGCTCCGATGACTGTTAGTTTCCACACCTTCAGAATAGTCGATCTGTTGTCCTGTGTGTTGGGGAGGTGGGAGCAGTTTACTCTCTGTGTCCTCTCTGTGCCCCTTTGTCCTCATACCATTAGGACAGTGGCTCTGGAGAAGCATTTAAGAATGAACAGACATTGCCCTGGCCGGTTTGGCTCAGTGGTAAGAGCATCAGCCTGCAGACCAGAGAGACCTGGGTTCGGTTCCCGCTAAGGGCACGTACCTCGATTGCAGTTTGTCCCCGGCCCTGGTTGGGGTCATGTGGGTGGCAACCACTCTATGTGTCTCTCACATTGATGTTTCTCTCTTTCTCTTCCTCCTTCTTTCCCTCCCACTCTACGTGAAGATAAATGCAAAATTGTCCTCGGGTAAGGATAAAAAAAAAAAGAAACATTATTTAAGAATGAACAGACACTGAACAACTACTTAGTTAATCCATGTACAATATTAAGTGTTAGCACTGGCGTAGACACCTCTCAGGTTAGAACAAGAATTTATAGCTATTTTGTTAATTTGGCTAAAGAACTTAAACTTCCTTGTTGTATCTCTAAGACTGGGGCTATCATTGACGGGTCTCCCAGAATGAGGGAACACATTTTTGATGATCTGAGGTTGTCTAACTCCTATGGGATTTATCCCTTCAGACTTTTTATAAGGAGGTATAGTCAATTGAAGGTTTGGGGGAGCCTAACTACAAGCCCCACAGAACAATTAACCCTTGGTCCTGGTTTCACATTGAAAACCATGGTCTTGAACTCTGAATAGGAAAAAGTATCCCAGTCAACACAAGAGAGATGATCAACCCTAATGGGTTGTAAATATAGCGTTCCCCAGTGCAGTCATGACAGTCACGGTTACATGCCAAGAATATTTATATCCTGGGCCTCCAGAACAGGGACATGTTTCTTCACTACGTATTGTCCTCAGAGCGTATCATTATTGATCCAGTTAATGTAGCATACCTTTATATCATTTTTTAGATTGGCTATAGTACTAAACATTAGCTTGGGAGAAATGAATTATAGAGTTAGATTGGTGATCATTTCTAGTAAAGCTTATAGTTAGAACAGCATATTTATTAGTGTGCTGATTTGCTAACTTATTTCTATGCTATTTTAAAGGTGTTTCTGTAGTATTTTTATACTGTCTATTGTGTAGGATACTAGCTTCTATTGTGGGCTTCTATTTTAACCTGAAACAAACACACAAAACATGAAACAGTGGTTTTTAGAGACTGGACATCATGACACAAAGAGCGAGGATACCTTAGAGCAGCGGTTCTCAACCTGTGTGCCGCGATCCCTTTGGGAGTCGAACAACCCTTTCACAGGAGTCGCCTAAGACCATGGGAAAACACATATTTCCCATGGTCTTAGGAACTGAGACACCGCTCCTCGATCCATCTCCAGGTGGGTCTACCCACATGCAGATATGCCCACATACAAGTACCTGATGTGATGACATCATTGTACCAACCCCATCACATACACCCCATACAAATACAGGTGTATGTGACAGGGTTGGTGCCATAATGTACTTATGCAGACCAGTCACACATGTGTAGAAAGCAGCTACTGTATAGAAAGCAGCAACTGTATAGAAAGCAGCTACTGTATAGAAAGCAGCTACTGTGTTGAAAGCAGTATTGGAGGTAAAATTACACTTCATGAATTATAATTACTGGGTAAATGTAAAATCGTACTGTAAAATCATCAACTACTGCAAAAAAAAATATCTGTACCATGGGAACTTAATCTGGATGCTGATCGGTCTTTTTATATTCAGCTGTGGTTGATGTGAATACTGCCCCCTTGTAATAGTAACAGGTATGTAAAAAAAACACAGAATAGTAAATCATAGGAAACTTTAATGAACTGTTTTGACTGAACTATGCCATGTATCATCTTTTGTATTATTAAAGCTATTGTTATATATTATTTTCATTAGCAAACCATCTCATGATAATGGATCGTGTAGAAAAGACTGTTAAAAAAGGAAAATATAGTGAGGATTTTTTACAGTATGGTTTTACCTTAATAATTACAGCAGGAATTGAGAAACAACAATGTGTTATTTGTTGTGAAGTTCTATCAGCCAAATCTATGAAGCCAAACAAACTAAAACGCCATTTTGATAGCAAGCATCCGAGCTTTGCTGGCAAGGATACCAACTATTTTAGAAGCAAAGCTGATGGACTCAAGAAAGCCAGACTTGACACTGGTGGCAAGTACCACAAACAAAACGTAGCAGCCGTTGAAGCTTCATATTTGGTGGCACTCCAAATCACCAGAGCTATGAAACCTCACACCATTGCTGAGGATTTACTGTTGCCAGTGGCCAAAGACACTGTTCGAGTTATAATTGGAGACAAATTTGTTAAGAAATTGAGTGCAATTTCCTTATCTAATGACACTGTCCGCAGAAGAATAGATGATATGTCTGCTGATATTCTTGATCAGGTAATCTAGGAAATTAAATCTGCTTCACTTCCACTATTTAGCATCCAGCTTGATGAATCTACAGACGTTGCAAACTGTTCACAATTACTGGTTTACGTGAGGTATATTAATGATTGTGACTTTAAAGATGAGTTTCTTTTTTGCAAACCTCTTAAAATGACAACCACTGCACATGATGTATTTGACACAGTTCATTTCTGAAAGAGCATAAGGTCTCTTGGGGAAAGGTGTGTGGTGTTTGCACAGATGGTGCTTCAGCTATGCTAGGATGTCAATCTGGATTTCAACGTTTGGTACTGAATGAGTCACCAAAAGTCGTCAGAACTCACTATATGATTTATCAGCAAATATTAGCAACAAAGACACTGCCATAAGAGTTACAAGAAGTAATGAAAAGAGTCATAAGTTCTGTCAATTTTGTAAAGGCAAGAACTTTAAACAGTTGACTTTTCACAACTGTGCAACGAGTTGGATGCGCCAAACAACGCTCTGCTATTTCACACTGAAGTGAGATGGTTGTCAACAGGAAAAGTTATAAAACATGTTTTTGAGCTTCATGATGAACTCAAAACATTTTTTAATCAGAAAGCAAGACCGCATGCGGTTCAAAGCACTTTTCAGCGATAAAAGTGAACTGCAGAAAATAGCTTACTTGGTTGACATCTTTGCCATCTTGAATGAGTTAAATTTATCACTGCAAGGACCAAATGCAGCATGCTTCAATTTGTCTGAAAAGATCCAATCGTTCCAAATGAAACTTCAGCTTTGGCAAAAAAAAATTGGATGAAAATAAAATTTACATGTTGCCTACCTTACCTGCTTTCTTTGAGGAACATGACATTGAACCAGACAAAAGGATTATGATAATTTCTGTGAAAGAACACTTGCACATGCTTGCAGACGAAATTTCATTGTACTTTTCAAATCTACCTGACACCTCATTTGCACCTGCCAGAAGCCCATTCACAGTCAAAGTTGAAGATGTTCCTGAGAACGCACAAGAGGAGTTCATTGAACTCAGTAACAGTGATGCAGTGAGAACTGATTTCTCTATAATGCCAGTTACAAAATTCTGGATCAAGTGTTTGCAGTCAATAATCCAGTTCTGTCTGAGACCGTGTTGCGCCTTCTTTCTTCTTCCATTTCCAACAACATACTTTTGTGAAACAGGGTTTTCCAGCTTGTTGGTTATCAAGTCTAAATACAGAAGTAGACTTGTTGTGAAAGATGATCTTCGTTGTGCTCTTGCAGAGACTGCCCCGAGAATTCCTGATCTGGTGAGAAAGAAGCAGTCTCAACCTTCACACTGACGTTGCCTTTTTCACGCATAATGTCGCAAAATGTAGTTTACTGTTATATTAAGACTATTACCCATGCTACACCATGCTTCAAGACAAAATTTCATTTATTTGTAATTAGAAATAAATATTTCACAACATATAATTACATATTGTTTTCGTGATTAATCATTATGCTTTAATTCTGTTCAATTTGTAACAATGAAAATACATCCTGCATATCAGATATTTACATTACGATTTATAACAGTAGCAAAATTACAGTTATGAAGTAGCAACGAAAATAATTTTATGGTTGGAGGTCGC